GGACTCGATGGGCTGGGAGGGCTTTTCCAACCCAAATGATTCCCAGGCAGCCCAGCTGACAGCTTTAAACATGATTACATGGAGGTGACATCAAATCTAGGTGGATATTAACCATCCACTTCATATGAAACAAAAATCTCAAGCCCAGGCCAGCCCAAGCCAGAAATCCATGTTCCACTGCTCCTGAAACAGGCACCCTTCCCTGCTCTGCTTTACTCTGGGGAGTTTTTATTTCTCCTTACTAGGTGCTAGACGTGCCAAATTTGAAATTCTTCATTTTGAAAGGCTGAAAGAAACAAATAAAAACTCCTTGAACTTGTAAATGAGCCTTCATTTAAATAGAAAACACTGAGAAAATGCAAATTACAGGCTTCTCATTCCTGTTGTATAGTCCCCATTTCTAATGGTTCTTCAGAAAGCAGCTCATTTATCTAGCCCTAACTTACTGTTTAAAAAAAACCAACAAACACAAGTTTCATGGTTTGAAATCAATTCTCGAATCCGAGATCCTACATCAGGGTAAGACAAAGACTTGAAACTATCTTGTTTTTTTTTTCCTTTCTGAACTATACAGTAGCTATTTAGTTTAATCATTACAAAATTTTCCATCCTTCACCTCCCAAACGTGGTGTAGAATAAAATAGCCAACTGAGCTGTAACACAGATATTTACACTGCTTTTAAGACTACGATAACTCTGAAGCCCCAGCACAAACCTGGCAGTGGTATTTCCTCAATCCCAAGTGCCAGCAGCAGCCCTTTTGCTAAAAAAGATCAGATATTTTAGGCAAGCCAGGGTTAGTTCTGTGCTCCTGCAACCAGCTACAACAAAGGACTGCTTTCTTCTTTGAGGGATATCACACTTGCAAAGGGAAGGCAATAAAGTTTACAATCATTACCCAAAGGAGCAGGAACAGAAGCAGATTAAGAGTCGATGGCTGGATCCAGGCCCAGCATTGAGGAGGAGCCAAGAGCACAAGCCAGGCCTGGGTGACTGCTCGGGGATGAGGAGCCTGGGCTCGTGTGGGAGAAAGGTCAAACAAGCTCTGAGATAAAGGTTTGGAGTCCTGGACTCTGCCCTTGGGTTTTAAACCAGACTCAGGTACGAGCAGCATGGTTTGAACTCAGAATTCCCTCAGCCTGGCCCAGCTGGGGTAGCAGAGCCCAAAGCGGGGCTCAGCACCAGGGCTGAGCAGGTGTTGGACCTTCCAGTCCCTTTAAGGGTTCTAGGGTGGTGTTTATTTTTGGTTTAGCAGTTTTTCTAACTTACAGCTCTTTTTCAACACTAACTTTCTCAAGATCCCAACGATTCCTACCCAGACTGTGGACAGCTGGATAACCTGTTTGTTACAGGTCCCAAGGCTCCTGTCCACGTGCCACGGGAAGCAGATCTCCCCCTCCAGCTCCCTGGGAGGACACACCCAGCACAGCGATAAAACCATTTCAAGCCTTCCTCCACCCCTCTCCTCAAGCTCATCTAACCCCACAGTGACTCTTTGGGCTGGACCAAGGACCAAACTCTTCACCTGCTGCTGGGAATTGTAGTCGAAGAGCCCCACGGTGGCTGCGGCCGAGTCCACGGGAACCTGGGTGCCGGAATAATCGAACTGGAGGGGCTCCATGCCCACGTGCTCCATGGGATCCAGGGGCACACTCTGGGACTCGATGTTGGAGAAGTCCTCCACGGGCTTGGCCCCGTTGGTACTGGCTAGCTGGGCCAAGCCCTCGGATCCGTTCTGGTTGGGGCCCAGCAGATCCACCTCGCTCGCCGAGTTCTGGCAGTTCCCGGGCGTGCGGCTGTGCAGGGAGGGAGAACTCATCACTGACCACACCACTGACACACCCAGAGCTCACAGAGGGGTGGTGATAAAGGGGGGGAAAACATATCTGTAAGAGTTCCCCGAGCTAACTCTACAGAATGACTTATGTATTTAAAAAACAAACAAAAAAACCCCACCCGCCCCTTCCCCCCCCCAGTTCCCTGGCCCCAAAACTCCTGTTCCAGTAAAAAAAAAAAAAAAAAATTAGTTTCTATTTTTCTCCTCAACTGAGAGTCAGTCAATGGAGGACTGACTGAACAAGCCAAAATTTCAGCAATGCCAGTCATTTTTTTCATAAAGCTATCTGGTGATTATTAACTGTGTGATCCTCTGGCACCATGTCTCACTTGTGACCTTTCTGAAGCAGCTCCCAGGGTTTCCTGACGACCTAAAATAAGGATTGGACTCAATGGGAATGGTTCATCTCCATGCACTGTGCACTTCCCAGCATTTTGTTTGACTTTTACACGTTTTTTTTTTTCTTAACCATTTGTTTGGCTTTTCCAGTTTTCCTGCATGTCAACAGGAGCCACAGCAGGTACATAAGTGAGCAAGAAACACAAATGTATCCATTACATCAACAGCCACAATTTCAGAGGGTTGTAATCCCACAGGAGAGCTATAAGGAACAAGTCCAAAACCCCAGCTATAAACTGGACTGGTGCATAATCAGAGTCAACACCTTCCACGGGAGTTTCCATAGGGATCCCACACAGTAAAATTAAAATAGGTGTGAAAATAACCCAGATCACAACAGCCAGGCCGAGGTGTGCTCTTAGGTGTTCTCCACCTTCTCCCTGTGCCCTGCAGGCACTGACACACATGGATGAGGTCCTCTCTCAGCATCAGCTCTGGAGGCTGAACAGCCCCAGCTCCTTCAGCCTTTCCTGCTCCCAGAGATGCTCCATCCCTTCGCCATCTCTGTTATGATGGATCCCAGCTTTCCTGGGGATGGAGCACCTGCCTGCCTTGGAAGTGCTGAATGAACCCCTGGCCTTGCTTTGCTTCATGCACAGGTTTTGCTTTCCTTATTAAACTGTTTCCACCACGAGTTTTCAATTCAACCCACATGAATTTTCTCACTTTTCCAATTCTCTCTCCATCCCACTGGAGTGGAGAGAGCGAGTGGTTGGGGGTGCTGAGAGCTGGCTGAGGTTAAACCCCACCAGTGTGACACTAATTAACTGTTAATTAACAATGCACATACCTGAAGTCTTTGACATCTGCGTCGATCCCATTTTGAACAGGCAAACCATTTGTTTTATCCATCACATCCCCCTCCTCCTTCAGATCTCCCAATTTGTCGCCATCAAACGTGCCCTTATTTTTCTTATCCCCTTTGTCATTCTCATCATTCTCTGCATCCCTCGGCCCCTGGGCAAAAAGAGACATTGTTTTAATAAGCTGAGTTTTCAGATCGATTTTGCTTTCATCCCGAGATGGTCACAAATCAAAGGCACATGTCACAATAAAGGAAGTCACTTGCAAACATTAATTCTTACCAAAAAAAAAAGAGCAAAATAGCCCCATAATAACTGAAGAAACAAGGGAATTAGTTCTAAGTCTTCCAAGAGATTTCATCTATTCAGCTTCTTCCATTGAGTAATTCAGGGTTTGCTTCTATGGGCTCTAAAAATCCCAACCCAAAATAATCTTATAATTCAAAATGGGACTTCAAAATTAACGACAGCACGTGCTGCAGGGGAATAAACTGAATTAGAGCCTCTCTGGAAGTCACTGGTTCAGTGTCAGAGATGCAGTTATTGACTGGCAAGTGCAAGTGTTGGAGAATCACCTCGTTTTGGGGAGAGGCATCACACTGAATTCCAAGGAACAGCTCGTTTAAAAGCACTCAGATACATCCCTAATTCAGGCTCGGTTCATGTAATCCTAAAGCACGTTTCCTTGGGAAAAAAAGGGGAGGGGGGGGGAAAAGAGGAAAAGAAGGATTTCTGTCCTGTTGAGCATTTTATGAGTGGTATTACAGCTCCAGCATTTCTGCCCTTAATGTCTGTGTTTTATTTCACTTGGGAGAAGAATAAAGGGTGATGATGCCTGGGGCAGTGTTTTGAACAACAAAAGGGAGAGGAAAAACAACATAATTTATGATAAAAACCAGCAAGGGGCATATAAACATATTTATCAGGGCCAGCTTTGGTGCTGTCAAAGGGCCAGACATTCAAACCCTGCCTGCCACTTCATCTGCAAGCACTGGATCAACTAAACACTTTACCCATCCTCTCTAATTGAGGGGGGAGGATTTTCCCCTCATATTTAGGAAAAAAAGATGATTTTTAAAAGCAATAATCTGGTGCTGCTTCTTAAGTAAAGCTGTGTTTCCTTAATATTATAGAGGGGATTTGGAAATGCCAATGTTAACTATAAATTTGGAGCCCAATTCTCCCCCCCACACAATGGGATATTCAGCAGTGAGACCCCTGAGTGTCTGTGCTGTGCAGGAAACACCTCTCTAAGCCCAATGGGATAAACTGGCTCCTTCCATTGACTGTTCATTCCTCAAAAATCCTGTTTCGTGGGTTCAGGGCTCACCCTGGTTATCAGTTTATCCTTATATCTGAGGCAGCAGCAACTGTGCTCTCTCCCCACCCCGAGGAGCACAGGGACTGAAGCCATTTCTCCATTGGGAATGGTCTGCCTGGACAGCAACACCCCAACCTGGAGTGGTTTGGGGAGCTTTGTCCCATTTCTGGGAGCACTACACGGAGCTTTTTGTTCACCAAAGCTCAGTCAGAACCCACAGGAGTGTCTGCAACCGTGTCCAACCCTCAGCTTGGAGGGGGTGTTACTGCTGGGGGGCTTAGCCAAAAACCAGGGAATGCCAGCACCTTCCCATTCCTCCCTTCTATCCCACACTCCCCCAAGTCAAGGACAATGGTTAAACCTGCTGGTTTGAGACTGGTCAACCCGCCTGTTTGAGGAAAGAGAGAAACTAGGAGCTAATAAAAGAAGAAACATCTGCCTTAGCACTGGATTAACAAACAAACAAATTGAACAGCAAACAGAGAAAATAACACAACAGGACTCAGATGTGGGAGACTCAGGCAGACTTACAAATCCTCCTTTCCTTAGGCAGGAATCTCCAGGAGATGAGCTCAACACATACTCCACCATGCTCACGCCAAGCCCTCCGCTCTCTGACCGCGGTGAGAGCACCGAGTTGACTTCACTGTTCACATGAAAGCCCTGACCAGGTCTTCTCTGAACCATAATGGGTTGGGAAACAGAGTGATCTGGAACAAAACCATGGGTAATTCTGGTAAGAACATCCAACAAAGGAGGCAAGTCATTAAATATGTACTCTCCAGGGTCTTCTTTGCACTAAGAAGTGCCAACTTTGTGACTCTGGTGATGCCCATTAGTAAAACCAGGAGGGGGTTTTAAACATTAGAACCTGTAAACTTACAAGTGAGAACTATATTAAAATCTAAACTAATAACATTTTTGAAATTTAAGACTTATTAAAGGTTGTAATTAAAAAGACAAAGTTCTAGTTTTTATTTTTAGTAAAACTCTTGCACTAGCGCAGTGAAAACCAGTTTTGGTTTGTCATTTAAAACGTGATCCTGTTGTTACACCAGCCTGTATCTGTGTTCTTGGTTCTAAGAACTGTAGCATTTGAGTCATAATCAGAGACTTTTGTGGCTATTTCCTCATTAAAAAAAAAAGTTAATGAGAACTTCATCTCCTCTTCCTCATCCCATCCTCCTGCACCAGCCTCATCCCTGCTGTGCCAGGGTTTGAGATCCAACCAGGATAGACTCAGGAGAGGCATCTCTGAGTCCTTCCGGGCTCTGCAAAAATCACTGGTTGGACAAGAAATGACCCTGAATCCCCAAGGAATGAAGGGAAGGAATTCTCTGAGTCAAAAATAACAGGCAGCAGACATAGGGAGTTGCCAGGGGATGGTGGAAGGGACAATATTCAGTGACAATGATAGCGCAGTTTCCTTATAAAGCACGTAGAAGCTGCCAGAGAAGTAATTCTATTCCCTCACTGCTCCTGGCTACACTTTGCTCCTTCTCCCCCAAGCCAGCACAAGCACCCACGTGTCCACAAAGTGAAGTGGACTGGGGACACTTTGGGGGATAAAGACAGTAAAAAAGGGAAAAGCCAGTTCGAACCCAGCTCGAGCCCCCAGTGGGACTCACTGCCCTGCTGCACAACCTGTGTGCCACCAGGAGGGGAAGGAGGACAGGAATGATGCTTTGAACACCTTAAAACTGGTTTTAGACACTTTAAAAACCCAGTTTTTGAGGTAGAGGAGTGAACATCCAAAGCCCCGTGGGAGGCCTGCAGTGCATCTGGTGGGCACAGACAGAGAGGAAGGAGCAGGGATAGGGCCAAGGGCATCTTACAGTGAACCAGGCCCTCACCCTTTCCGTGCAGCCTGGGCACTGGGGGGATTTTGGGGGGCTGTTCCTTCATTTCAGATGAGCCAGAGGGGAAATCCTGCCTTGCCTGGCCTCCAGCCACCAAGGAACACAGGCCCTGAGGTGCACAAGTTAATGGGGAAAAAACAAAGGGAGAGAGGAGTCCAAGGGCTTCGACTCCTGGAGCTCTGGGATCAGCCCGTGTGAGGGGTGACCTGCCTGGGGTGTCACAGCCCAACAAGAGGTAACTCAGGAGAAAGTCACTTCCTCAGCTCTTGGGAGAGCCTGGCTCAGCCTTTAATCCACCTCAGCTCCACTCTGGACTAATAAATCCTGGCACAAGAGTTGGGGCTGCTGGGGACAGGCACTGTGGGCAGCTCCCCAAAACCTCCCCAGTGCCCAGGACCGACCCAACACATCCAATTTTGAGGAGTTTCGTCCCCCTTTTTACAGTCACCTTTCAATTTAAATAACACAAAACGCCCTCAGCACTATCCCAAAGCCTTCAGTTAAAGAATGGGTATTTTTGTGAGGGAAAAGCCCCACACAACAGTGGAGCTGCTGTAAATCCCATTTCCTGGGGGCTGTAGATACTTGGGAAGTGCAGGAGATGCCCAGCAGTGTTTAAGGAACATATTCCTTACATACAGAACCCACAGAAAACAACAAACACAAGGGCAGCATTTCAAACCCAGCACACGTATGGGATTTTTCTTAAAATTTAATTCAAACCAACCTGAACGCTCCTGAAGTCCAAAATCAGGGACAGTCTCTGATCCAAGATCAAAATCCTTGGCAGATATAACTCAATACTCCTAATTCAAAACATCAATTTTTTTTTTCATTTTTCAAACTGTTTTTTTTGTTGGTTGGTTTAGTATTTTTAAAACTGCAGGTGTTTTGGGTTTTTTTGTTCATCTTGTTCTCCAACATCTCTGTTCAAACTTTCAAGTTATTCATCCCAAGGCAGAAAACACATCAGAAAGTTTAAATTGAAATTTTAAGGGCAATTTAAAATTTTTAAGCAGGTACACAAGAATTTGCACACATTTACATTAAACAACCTTTTGACATGTATGGATATTTTAACTCAATCACAAAGCAATGTGGGGTTTTCTATTTGTTTTTTATTGTATAAACCAGATGTTTTTTAAAAACTTTTCAGAACTCAGTGACTGCGAGCAGGTGAGTTGCACATTTCTGTATTTAACCCCAACTAAATTAAGTAAATAATCAAACTACCTGATGTTCCCCAAGCACTGTCTCTCCACTGATCTCCCAGAAATATCCCTTTTGGTCCATCTTTGCTGGAATCATCAGATTCCCAAAACTTTTTACCCGGCAACAGCTGCTGCAATTAAAAAAAAAAAAAAAAAAAAAAAAAAAAAAAAAAAAAAAAAAAAAAAAAAAAAAAAAAAAAAAAAAAACAAAAAAGAAAGAAAAAAAAAAGAGATAAAAAAAAGGAACAAAACAAAGCAAAGCATGATTAAAATAAGCACAAAATGCAAACATAAACCATAGGCAACTCCCTTCTAAACAGGAATCAATCGTAAACATAAACTGATCCACCCAAATATTTATACACACGAGGTGAAAGCCACACAGCAGCTGAGGGAGCAATTCCATCATCCCAATCCTCTTACATTCTTAAATGCTTTATGAACCCCACACGTCAGCACACACACACAGTGACACTCTCCAGACTCTTGGAAAATAAAATACATAGAGAAATGTATAATAGAAAAACCTATTGTGATCAGAATACACATAAAATGACACTCTCCAGCTTCTTGAAAGAAAATACATAAATATATATATATAGGTATAGGTGTATATATATATATAGAGAGAGAGAGAGAGGTTTAAAAAAACCTACTGTGATCAGAATATCAGGAGTTCAGCTGAGCTGGGGGCACCTCTGTGAGCAGAAATTCCTACTGCTGGCAGGGACAGAAAAGCCCAGGAGATGCCAAGAGCTCCCACTTGTCCCCCCCAGCCAGTGAGTGCTGAGGACTCTCGGTGCTCCCGAGGTTATTTGGGAACACCGAGGAGACTGAGCAGTTCTGGGCCATGTTGGTTGGGCTGAGGGGAGGAAAAAAGAGGTTCTGGGCTCCTGAGAGTGAGGCAGAGGCATCCTGGGCTTGGGTGAACCCAAGGACAACTGCGCTGGAGGGCAGCAGATGGGCCCCATCCAGCAGGTGGATTTTGGAAATAGCGCCTGCACCTCCATATGAGCCAGGGAATTCCTGCTGCCTGAGGTGGCCAGCACAGCACTGCCCACTTCAGCCCTCTGAGGGAGATGAACACCAGGAAGGAGCCTTTCCTGCTGGAGTCGGGATAAAACTCCAGGAAGTGGGAGGTGAGAACCTGCATCAGTTTGAAATCCCCACGGAACAAAGAAGAGTCATCGATCAGTGGATCTCTCCTGTATATCCGGAGTGCTGATAACTCCTGATTGGCATCAACTTCAGTGCCCTGCCTGATATCAACTCCAGCAAATGTGCAAATTTAAGGGTACATCAGCTGGTTGCAGATGGAGCAGCAATAACTGGTTTCAGAGCTCCCAGCTGCTGTGTGAGCTGGTCTAAGACACAACCAGAAAAGCTGTGCTCACCATTTCCTTCCTAACTTAACCAAGCTCTGCCTGTTTACAAAATCAATCAATTTTTAGCAATGTGACTCCAGGATTTCTCCTTCCACCCCACACACGGTGTGGGTTGCTGAGGATTCTCTCAGCTGAACGACAAAAGCAGGGAAGCACCACATTCCCCTTTATGCAATCCAAAAATACCTCCAAATATAAGAACTCCCATCAGCAACACTCATTTCCAAACACCCAGACTAACCTGTTCCTCCATCTGCACCGGGGGGTTGGGGAAGGAGGTGAAAGCCAAGGCAGTGCTCTCTAGTATTTATAAACATAAACACACACCAGGTGTCTCACCATTTTTTTTATGCTTCTGTCATTCCAATATTTATAAAAATGCAGCTTTTTTTGCTCCTGCTGCTGCCACTCAGCAAAAATCAGAACTTCCCTTCTTGTGGTGCTTCAGGGAATTCCAAACAAAAAGTGATTTGGATGAATTAAAATAAATTTTAACTGCAACTAAACTTTTCTCATTTCCTCTGACAGTGGAGAACACAAGCTGTTCTGCAGCCACATCCCAAATCGTGGAATCCCAGACTCGTTTGGGTTGGAAGGGACCTTAAAGAGCATCCAGTCCCACCCCCTGCCATGGGCAGGGACACCTTCCACCAGCCCAGGGTGCTCCAACCTGGCCTTGGACACTTCCAGGGATCCAGGGGCAGCCACAGCTTCTCTGGGCAACCTGTGCCAGGGCCTGCCCACCCTCCCAGGGAAGGATTTCTTCCTAAGAAGAAATAAAGGATGAGAGGGGATATGGGTTTCCAGGAAGGAGACAGACAAGAATGAGCAGAACAGAACATCTTCCAACCTTAATGACTCCATGATTTTCTTTCCAAGGATAAAGGAGATGGGACTTTTGATGTGGGCCTGGAGTGACACAACAAGGGGGAATGGCTTCCCACTGCCAGAGGGCAGAGTTAGGTGGGATACTGGGAAGAAAATCCTTCCCTGTGAGGCTGGTGAGGCCCTGGCACAGGTTGCCCAGAGAAGCTGTGGCTGCCCCTGGATCCCTGGAAGTGTCCAAGGCCAGGTTGGAGCAACCTGAGCTGGTGGCAAGTGCCCCTGCCCATGGTAGGGGGTGGAACGAGATGGGCTTTGAGGTCCCTTCCAACCCAAACCATTCCACAATTCTCTGAAACCTGCAGCAGCTCTGGGTCAGTCAGACCACTGCCCTGGCTGGGGGTGACTTCAGGCTAATTTAGCACTTTACTGTTTCCCTGCTACCCTCTATTCCTTTCTTGAAGAAGAAAACAATCCCCTTTCCAACAGAATCCTGCAGATCTGCACCCCAACACCTTCAGTTTTGCAGTTAATCACTGACAAGGGTCAGTAAACACTGTAATCCTCACTATCTTGTGGACACACACCACAACCAACCACAGCTCTGTCCCCTACAGTTTAATCTCTCCCCTCCAGAAGCATAAAGTTTCCAACTGGAAGTTCTGTACCATAAGCAGAAACAATTAAAATACAGACATTTATTGCACATACAGATCCTGGATGAACTTACAGATTACCAGGGAAAGCCAAAAGCCAATATTAACAGATGGTAATGGGGGTCTTTGTTCTGTCAAGTGCTGATCCAACCAGCACCAGAGGGTTACCAACAGCAATCATCTGCACTGAATTATGCAACAGGCTGGCAAGACAATGAATTTTTCCTCAGGGAAAGTTGTCAGTTGCAATGGAGTTAAAAAAAAGATATTTTAAGTGACTATCAGCCAGTTCTGCAGGTTGCAGATTTAAAAAGAACAAGCAGCAGTTTAGAACAAGCCCCGTTTATTCATTCCCTGGTTTTTATTAAAATTGACCCTATCTAGTACGAAAATAATCCCTCTAAGCCCTCTTACAGAGGACTAAGAGTTAGGCCAATATTCAATTTAGCAGAGAGGGGAGGAGGGGATGACGTACACATCAACAAAAGCAATTCCTCAACCAGCAAGTGCACATAGATCCCACTGAGATGGGATTATGAATTAGACAAATTAAGAAAACTGATCCCCCCTCAGATAAGGCAAATATGAAGATAAAAGAAGCCATCTGTGCAGCTGGAGAACTCGGCTTATCTACAGCAACAGGTAGGAGAAGGCAGAATGTGCATTTACACATCCCACTGGGGCAGCCCTGCAGGTTTACAAACACCCTGATGTTATCAACCCCCCCAAAAGTGCTGCCAGCTCAGAGCCAAGACAGGCAGGGTGAGCTCCCAGCAGGCAATCCCAGCTTTGCAGCTGCCCCAGGCACAGCCCTGCTCTGCTGTCCCAAAAAACAGGCAGTTTTCTGCCAGCTCAGGGAGCTGATGTGGCTCACTGAGAGCACCAGGAGAAGGCAGGATCAGAGCACTGGGAATATCTGACCATCCAGTGTGCTCTGGCTCAGTGGAGCTGCTGTGGCACCACCACCAGCTCCATCCCTGCCATCTCCAAAGCTGCCAGAGCTGGGGAAACTGCAAAACTGAACACAAACATTATCCAAAGTGCCATTGCTGCCCAGCCCAGCTGCCAGGGGATCATAAATCTATGAGAACACAGCACAGGCAGCATCAGCAGGGAAAGCAGAGACACAGGGGTTTAGTTTGGAGGACTTTGTTTTCGTTTGGTTTGTGGTTGTTCTCTTTAAATCAGGTACAAGAATGTCCAGGCCCGGTGTCAGAAACACTCAGGCACCAAGGGGACACAAACATGGTCAGAGAGTCACAGAGCAGCCTGAGCTGGAAAGGACTCCCAAGGACCATCCAGTCCAACCCTCAGCCCTGCACAGGACACTCCAACAATCCCACCCTGCCCCTCAGAGGATCAGCCAAAGCCTCCTGCAGCTCTGGCAGCCTTGGGGCTGTGCCCACTGCCCTGGGGAGCCTGTTCAGTGCCCAACCAGCCTGGGGGGGAAGAACCTTGCCCTGAGATCCACCCTGAGCCTGCCCTGACACAGCTCCAGCCATTCCCTGGGGGCTGTCCCTGCTCACAGCCCCTCCAGCCTCTGATGTTGCAGAGCTCTAATACAACAACTCCCGGGGGCTGCAGGAATTTCACTGCCCACAGTCACACCCACACCAGACCCTGGCACTCCCACCTGCAGGGGCAGCAGCACAGCAAGGATTAAAATGCTTCTCAGAGAAAATACCTAAGTTTTCTTACCCCAGTTCAAGTGCAAGGTGAGATGCGCTGCTATCCCTAATATTCACACTGGGTAATTTTTTGTCCAGTTCACTCAATTTTGAAGTTAAGCGCCCACCAGTTGCCTCACGTCTCTCTGTCCCCATCCTCCTCCCACCTCTGGATTAAGTTTCAGGCAGCAACACACCCAGCTGCTCTTTCACTCCAGACCCAGACTTATCTCAGCACAACCTCCTCCAAACCCAGACCCAGTTCCAAATGCATATAACGTGCTGAGGGCAAAGCCAAACTCCACCTCACAGCCCCTCTGCGCTGCCCACTTCCCCAAAAAACACCAATATCCACTGCTGCAAAGCCACAGATAAAAGAGATTTAAGCAGAGAACAGCTCCCTGTCCTGGCAGAGGAGGAGAACTCGCACAGCTCGTGTTAAGTGTCACAGAACAAAGGCACAAGCAGCAGGGCCATGTGTGGTGGGCTGAAGATGGAAATGGCCAAGAAACAAGAGAGATGAAAGTCCTGAGGCTTCTTTTCTTTTTTTTTTTTTTTTTCAATTATTCTTAATTTTCTCAGATATCTGTTCATCTCCAAATATTATCTGCATTTTGACAGCAGGAGAGAGAAGAGATGGGAACTGTTTGGCAGTGCCCTTTAAAAAACTGCTCTGATGTCTTCAGGGCCACAAACTCCTGAAATCACCAAGAAATAAGAAAATAAGAAGATAAAAAGATACACTAAAAGCATAAACACTCTTTCCCTCATCCTCCTTCTCCAAGTTTTTCACTATCAACTCCAAGAACAAGATTACTGACACTTGCTGCAGGGAAGGCTCAGAACGTACAAGACGAAGAAATACAAATAAAATTCTCTCTTTTCCTCATTTATTTAATTGTCCTTATTTATTTCACACTTTCTCCATGAGCTGCCTTCTCATTCCAGGAGCAGGAGGAAGGGAGGAAACCATCAGCGCCTTGCTAAGGAACCTAAACTGCACAAAATCCAAGCGTGGAGCTGAAGAACACGGTCTTGGAAAGCCAGTACTCAAATCCTGTGGGATCTCAGCTCACAGAGCTCCTGAAATCTTGGCCAGCTGGATCTATCTGCAAAACCTTGGGGAGATACAGAGAAAAGGCAACGGATAAAGGAGGGGAAGTGTGAGACTGAGGGAGAAAAACCTGAAGAGAAACGAGAGATCGTGGTTTAGCTGAAAGAGAAGGGTGAAATGTCACCTTTCCTGGAAAATCGTGCTCATTCCAGGATGTGGAAAAGCCCGGTGGCAAAAG